CAGGCCTCAAGCAGAGCACCACAGGGAAGGTGCCGGCGGGTGCTGATAGGCAGGTGTGGCAGTCCCCTGGCTCACGCCCTGAGCTCTCCACCCGTGACACAGGACCTGAGGTGGGGAGGCCCCCGACCCCCGAGACAGGCAGCAGCCAAGACCAGGGGCTCCAAGTCCCACTGGAGGTCAGTGACGAGCCCCACCGCTCGTGGGCCACCGTGGGGAATGCCACCAGCCCGTGGCATCGCCTTCCCCGTGGAGGCTTCCCCACAGGAGGTCTGCAGTGAAGAGCTGGCCCGTTTGCTGGCTGGGCTCCCTGGGCACCGGCACCTCCGACTTAGGATTTCCGGGGCAGGTGAGAAAGAAGGGCAGGGCGAGGGCGGAACCCGTCTGCCCGCCTACGTCTGCGGCGGCCTATCCCCCATGTTCCAGGAAGCGTCGCGGAGACGTCTCCGCCAGGCCCCTGGCAGTGCTGCCTGATGCTGGGGCTGGCTGTGGGGTGAGCGCAGGGGACTCTCTGGCTGCCATCACCCCAGGGGGCAGGGGGCAGGGGGCCGGGTGGTGCCGGGTGCCCGCGCTCTCAGCCAGAGGAGCTGACGGAAGCGGGTCAACCCCGGGACGGGCTCCACGGTGAGGGCAGTTGCTCGCCAGGGTGGGGCTCCCACCGGGACCGGCCAAGCAGCCCAAGTGTGTGAAAACTCACTCCCCCAGAACCGCTGGAGCCGGTTCCAGAACCAACGAATGGATCTGGCTCCAGGGAGACCCTAAGGCCCTTTGGAGTTCCCGGGGGGACAGACACCTACTGGGGTGCCGGCGCTCCCAGGACAGGAGCCCAGGCCGGGAAGCAGCGTGCCCCGCCTCAGCTCCGACGTTTACGTGCCTTCTCTGTGCACCAAACAAAACGCGAGCACCTGTTTGTTCGGGGGCAGCTCAGGTCACACCTGCCTGAGAGAGCGCGTGCCTCCCCGGGGAACTGTGGAGGGCGGACGGGACCCCGGGCACGCAGCGGACAGGGGCGCTCAGCACCACTCAGCCGTGCCGCTGGCAGGGCACACGCTCTGCTCTGAACCGCTCCCTCCGCTGCCGAGGACTGAGCTCCCACTCCTGCCCCACAAGCCTCCCCAAGGTCAGGCCTCCGAGAGCCCTACTGTACATCGCCATCGATCTGGGAAACCGAACTCAAACCCATGGCAGCCCCAGCGGAAGATATCGGGGACGGCCGGTCTCGCCAGGGGCTCAGGTGCACACTCGGCCCGGGGTAGCGGGAACCGTGGCCCAGAACGGCAACCGTGTCTGGCAAACGGACGGTCAGCTGTACCCCGGTTACCCCTGTCAGCTTGGGGCCCCCCGGGGGCCCGTCAGGTCAATTAAGGCCTGGCCCCAATCTGCAGGGTGGACATAGGGAGGGGGCAGGGCCTCAGGGTGTCCGTCCCCAGGGAGCGTCTGCTTCCCGAGGTGAGGTGGGCTCCACCTGACACGTAAGCTGCCTGTTCTAGAAAGCAAGGGTGTCGCTGCGCGTTAACGATAAAGAACCCCGATACAGGGAACGGGGAGGGCTGCGGGGCTGATCTCACCGCGAGAGCCGCCCTCCTCTCCCTCCCCTCGGGGGCCTGGACTCCCCCTGCCTTGCTCCAGTCTGTGCACGGCCACATCCGAGGAGGAAATGACTCGGGTTTTTTGAGCAACACGACCGGCCCAAGCTGCCGGGTCTACCCGGGTGGGGGCTCTCCTCGCTGCCGTCTCCTAGGCAGACCCCCGCTCAGAGGCGTGCGTGGCGGGCCCGCCCTCAGTGCTCCCGCAGAGCCTGCCCGCAGGTCTGACCCGAGGCGGCCCCCGGGCTGACGTACATGTCGTAGTTCTGGTCCTCTGTCTCCTGCTGCACCGACAGTTCCTCCAGTGTGGCGTCCACGTCCAGCTGGTTCGTCTCCAGCTGCCGGAGCAGCGTCTCTCTCTACGGGGGAAGCAGATCCCTTCAGCCTCGTGTCCCTGCTCGGCCAGCCCTCGAGGAATTAAGCAGCAGCTGAGCACGGGGCATGGCGCCCAAGGCCTCGTCCGACACCCAGGCGGTTCACCGTGGCTCCGAGGACGAGGTCGTTGATGTTAGCACCCCCCACCGAAGACGGCGCCCCGCCCACACGCAGCCCCAGAGGTCCAGGCGGCCCCGACGTGCGAACGCGGCTGTGGGGCCGGAGCTCAGCGCCTCAGCGCCTCCGCGCATCAGCCGCACAACCTTCTGCCGCTTGCTCCAGCGACACGACACGCGGTGTGGCCCACCAGGTACAGGGGACACCTCCGCATGGGTGTGCGGGTCGTAGCTACAGGGATCTATGACAACGATGCGGGTTCCCTGAAGGAAGGGCAGGGTGCAGTGACCGCGGACACTGCCTTGAAATGGGCCCACGCCAGCCTTCCCTCCAGCCGCAAATGGCAACCACCCTGTCTGCAGGGCCCTGGTTTCCTTCCAAAGACAGAAGGACAGGAGAGGAAAGACGACCACCTCCCTGGGCAAGCCCACGCCTTTCTGGACAAAGAATGGAAACCACTGTGGCTGCAGAGGGGCCCCGGGCCAGCATCCCAGGGACAAGATGTCACGAGTCCTGCCGTGATGTGCCCAGAAGGGCAGTCGCCTCTGCGGGCTTCTCCCTGAAAGCCCAGAGCCTCGACCCTGAACGGGGCTCACGGCGATCGCACAGCCCAGAGCAGGCTCAGGACGACGTGGGAGGTGGGGCCGGGCCTGAGCGGGACACCTCGGGGGGCAGCGTGTGGCAGTCGGCGGACCCTCGCTGCTTGTGGTTTGGAGAGAGGTACCGAAGAAGCTGAGCGGGCGGTGTGAGAGCCCTCTGCACCGTCCCTGTCCCTTCCGTGTAAACCTAACATTGCTCCAGAGTAAAACGTTTATTAAGAAAACAGAGGGACACCTGGGTGCCTCAGTTGGTTGAGTGTCCCTCTCTCTTTTATTTACTTATTTTTAATTTTTAAAAAATGTTGTTTTACTTTTGAAAGAGAGACAGAGAGATAACCAGAAGCAGGCCCCAGGCTCTGAACTGTCTGCACAGAGTCCGACGCGGGGCCTGAACTCATGAACCGCGAGATCATGACCTGAACTGAAGTTGGACACCTAACCGACTGGGCCCCCCCAGGGGCCCCAAGGGTCTGACTCTTGATTTCAGCTCAGGTAATGATCCCAGGGTCGTAGATCAAGCTCCATGTCAGGCTCTGTGCTCAGTGTGGAGCCTGCTTGGGATTCTCTCTCCCTCTCCCCCACTCGCTCTCAGT